CTAGCACTTGGAGTGGCTTTTATCTGAACATAAAAGTCAGTTTATCAGAGTTAATCCTTTTTGTATACACTTGTCTTACCAGAACAATTTTCTTTCATTTGGTCAAGACAAAGGAATTCAGGAGTTTCTGTAAACTAACCCTCCCCTCTCTTTGTTGCATTTTGTTGACATATTGGCAACATTCCTTCCAGTTTAAATTGGATTAAGCACATAGGAATTTAGTGAGTTGAAAATCAGACAGGATTCCAGGTACCTTTCTGCTATTGTTAAATACAAAAGGTCTAATAAAGAATAAAACTAAATAAAACCAGAACTAGTCTCCCGAAAGTAATGAAATGTGCTCGCTGCATTTACTCAGGCAGTCCATGGGGGGACGAGAAGAATGACAGCTGTTTTTCCAGGCTTTAAGGGGGAAGTCAGGCTGAAGCCAACTCTGACACATTCTTTACTTCTCAGGGCAATGTCAGCACTCTGTGAGTGGAAAATCTGAAAATACTGAATCCTCTGACTTCTGCTCGTCTGAATCGAGTTACCTTCTGTTTCTGTGGGTTTTGGTAGAAGCGCTGTCCTGTCAAATAGCTGAAATGGAAGCATAATGAGATGGAATGCCTGATGAATTTTTAATGCAATCTCAAAACTAATGGAGAAACCAAAGCAGTACATTTGGCCATCTTTTGAGAAGAAAGAGAAAATAATAATTACTTGAGATAGAAAGACGACTAATCAGAATACTAATTAATATACATCTTTTTTTTACATCTAACGTGATCCTCTGAATGTATTTGTTAATTCTAATCACATTTATCTCAACCTAACACTTTTCATGAGGAACTGAGAGCACAAAATGGCATGCGAAAATAAGAATGAATGGTAAAAAAGTCAAACTGCTGGAGGAAGGTGAGTGTAAGAAGACTACTATGTTCCTGCATGCAGTCATCCGAGTTATCAGATGTGCAAATTGTTTTAACTCTCTTTTCTGATTTGCTTCATACACCAGAGGGATAATGTCATTAATCTATTGTTTTTCTTGGCAGAAATTATCCAATAACTTTAGCACATATAACAAAGCAACTATTCCAAATTCTCATACAAATTAGATTCTGCAATAAGGGAGTGCACTCATCTTCAAAATGATCAGAAATGATATGAGTTAAACTGTTCTTTGAAAAAAATCCAGTGTTACTAAGCAATACCTCACTTTTCAGCTTTAAGTGACAAACGAGCTGCTTGCCTTTGGTTTTCAGCAGTGCCAAATAGTGAGATTAATAAGACACTGTTCCTTTAGTCAGGTTGGTATGCAGGAACTTCAGCTCGTTATTTCACTTCTAGCAGTACTTGATATTCTCAGTTTTAATATTGCAAGACATTTTAACACCAGCCAATAGGCCAGTAAAGAATTAGATGAGACACCAGGAATCTTTTGAACCTAAATACAACATCCAAATCCCAAACTAATTAGCAGTCCCTAATTATGGAGCTGCTTATATATTTTTTTACGAGTCAAAATTGCTTTTAAATTATCCTTGCTGAGACCATGCTAAAAAAGTCATTCCACCTTTGTGTACAGAAACCCAGAAAGGATGGGCAACTTTAATGAAGTACTGGGACAACATATAAAGCATTTTTTTTTAAAGCCACAAAACCAAATCCAAATAAACAACTACTTGTTCTGCAGACAAAATGGGTGATTGGTGCATTACAGCCTGTTACACAGGCTAACATTCTGCATGATGACGGGTGTCCTCAGAAATGCCTCGGTTGTTTGGCTTGTTGAATGTGCAGCACATTCACAACACCTATTTGTAGGGTTCCAAGTTTCCTTCCATTACTCACACCAAAAGCGATGAATTTTCAGCTTCTGGTCGATCACACTGGCAAACTTGTAAGCTGCACCTCTGAAGCTGGACCTGGGCTTCTCATAACCTCCCACTCTGATGATATTAAAAATGTTCTTCATATCAGCTGTTACATGTCTACAAATGACACTTGCTCCAGAGGCTTTTGTTGACACAAATGCTCATGGTCATTTTAACGCTATTGTAGCATAAGGATTTTAGTCTGGACAGCAATAAGCACTGAGAAAATCATGACTTCAATGGTTGAGACCATTTGTGCTGTGTCAACTCCTGCAAATTTTCTACAAATACATTTAAGAACTAGTTACTGTAGAAAAGAAGACCTTTCCACACTGCTATTGCCAATAATATCATCACTGGATTTACAACAGGATTTCTTTGAAACTATAATTACATTTTTGTCACACTGCAGCTGTGTTCATAACTGACTTTTCTTAACCAGTTTCCACAGTCAGTCCGTTTCTGGAGGCTGTAACTGGTCAGTAAAACTCCATTCTTAAACTGATGATGAGGCCGTGGTTCTTAGGGCTATGAGCAAAGAGAAATGGAAATCTGCTGGGATAAGGCTTTTTCAATTTCTGCCTCAGCTGCTGGCGTGGTGCAGAAGGTTATGTGTCCATTAGCCAACTTCAGTTACTGAATAAATTGAGGCCCTCCCTTCCCTCCTTTCCTCCTTCCCTCCCTCTTTCTTTTCTTCCCTCTTTCCTCCCTCCCTTCCTTCCCCTTCTTTCATCCCTCCCCTTCTTCCCTCCCTCACAAGAAAAAGGCATTTCAGACACAACCTGCTTTCTCTTAATTATTGACTTCGAAAGTAGCCTTAGGCAATTACTCTCTGGGTTAAGTGTCTCAAGTTAGGAAAGATGAACCTTGGCCACGGAGTACACAGAGCTGCTATAATGTGAGTGCCAGAATGATTGGAAATCATCCTCACAGTAGCTAGCAATGGTTGATAGATTAGATTAGACAACATTCTTCAGGGCACCTCTTCCACATCTTGGATTTAATCATCCACGGTAATTTCACTGCTACCCTTTTTTAAGAGCATGTTCTGTAAATCTGCAGTAAAAGCAAGGAATGACAGGGCTGTTATTAAAATGATTGTGACCAGCCCCACTGATGATTTGTCCCGTGAAGTCCGGGACAAACGATGCACTGTGGAAGGACCATCACACTGGCAGGCTGGGCAACAGTTGTGCAGCAGCCGATCTGGGGGTGCAATGGATAGCAAACAGGAGCCTGGGATATCCTGTCCCCACAGAATTCAGAGAAGAGTGACACAGATCCAGGGCAAAGCTGGAAAAAAATGACAGCAGAAATGAGACACAGGAAGGGACAGGCGTGCTGCAGCTGGGCTGCTGGTGTTTGGAAGTCCTATGGAAATGTACAGTATTCAGAAAATAACTCTGAGTAGAAAAAAAAAAAAGGTGTATCTGAGTATATGCCAGAGAAGTGGCACATGCCAAAACCAAAACATAACAATACAGCTACTGAGAACACAACTGAAGACATTTTTTCCTGCCTACAGAAATAAACCATGCAGTGTGTACCAAGTAACTTCTTCAGCTCAGAAGAAAAGCTACAAACTGTCACGCATGTTGACTGTTTATCTGTAAAGAGCTTTTTAGTGCTCGTCAGGTATTTCCCAAGCACAAACACAGTATGCCTTTGCGGATCCTCATTTTCTGTTTTGTACAAAGAATTGACTGAAGCCTCCTCTTCTATGCAGACTGTTCAGCTCTGCCAGTGTGAGCTGGCTGTGCCCCAAAGCAGTGCTCTTTGCAGCACAGCAGGTCCGGCACAACGTTTTCCTGAAGTACCTGTGTGATTTGAGCTTCTTCCCACAGGGACAGAGAAACTGAACTAATGATGTTTTTGTGATCTTCCATTTTGCTGGCTCTGTAAGGGTTCTCCTCTTTGTGACAAAACTGGCCCTCAGCAATGCGTCTTCCCCACTAGACAGCACCCCAACATGGTAATAAGGTGTAAAACTGAATCTGAAGAGAATCACTGAATCTTTATTAATGCTTCCTGAATTTGAATACATTCAGATGTCCATACGAAAGGCTTGTGCAGATGAGCTACAGCACCTGATAACATCACATGTTGCTGTTAAGAGCAGCACTGCGGTGCTTCAGGAACTGCACTGTGCACAGCGAACACAACCTAGCTCAAACAAAATGCTCTGAATCAACACTTTGTTGTTGCCATACCTGTATAATGAAGAAAATGAATAAAAACCTCTGTCTTGTGCTGCAAACTCTTGACTTACACAAGACAGTAGGCAGAATAGGTGAAGTATAAAACATGGCATGTGCATTCTTTGTAATGTATTTAGGCTGCAAATACTTAAGCCATAATTCCAAGGTTTCCTCTTTTATTCGAGGTGAAATTCTTCTCAGTAAATTTGTACAGGAAACAATAACCCTGATAATGTAACTTCTGCACGTATAAAAATAGTACTTTGTGTCCTGAAAACAAAATACATAGGGAATCATCCACTGTCTGGAAAATCTATGCTTGCTTCACAAGAACACATTTCAGATTCCTTAAAGGTGTTTATATAATGTTAATTAGAGATCAAAGATAATTTGATTACGAGTGGGGGAGAATAAAAGAAAATGCTGATTATGTTATTTAAAGATGTACTAGTGTATGACCTTAAAGAACGAGTTTCAACTCGTCTGATGGAAAGAACACACCACTGTTAGGAACCATAAAAACACACTATCAATTACAGCTTGACCTTGATTGAAACCTACTCTGTACGTTCAGTAAAAGTGTGCTTTCATTTTTCTGCAACACATACTGCTGATAAAATGAATTTTAGATGGGCTAGAGTAAAAATCCAACTTACCTGAGTACAGATTTGTTATTAGTAGGAGAGAACCAGAAGTAATTCTGAAAAATGAGTGGAGGTGGGCAGTACTGACTTGGGTGAAAATTAAGTTCTGCCATCACTTCAAATGCAACCATGATTTAATGCAAGCTAAGCAAACATAACAACAAAAAAATCAAGGAATGCAGAGGAAAACCTGCCGTACCTTAATTCAATTAAGAAAGCCAAGCACATATTTTACCTTAAATTGTATGCTTATTATAAATTGTGAACAATTTATATATTACAATACATACATTACAATATCATACAGTGTAAAAGTTTGTTACACCTTCATTTGAAGAAACAGGATGAGAACAGCTGAAAAAAAGCTTTTAAACTGAAGCAGCCAATGCACTGTCATCTCTGGCGTCCATGTCCTTGTTGCTACCCGTGATACAACACTGAATTGCAGTTCTGCAAAAGATTGAGGTGCATTTGTTAAATTTGTAACTCGGAGAAAAAGTCATCAGCCTATACCTATGAAACTTCTTGTTCTTACAACCTGTTCAAACAGACAAAAATCCCCCCAGCAAACCAGGCATTCTTTCTAAATGGGCTCCTCCAAAGCCATGTCACTGCCTATAAATAACTGTCATCGTGTGAAATCTGAACCTTTTTGCCAGTAAGCGAGCGCTTGGGAGAACAATGCGTTATGTAAAATGAAGTCATATGAATCATTTCACAAAATTTGATTTTTAAGTGGGTACAGGCGCTTCAAAGCACAGAAGAGCTCCCTTAGCTATCACACTATATATAGGATTATTATTTTTTCTTGACAGAAAAATAAAGGGATGAAAGGATGAAAAGAAGCAATCACGGAGAGAAACAAAGGGAGAATTCTTCCTAAAAATGGAACAAAATAGTTCTGTCCCACTGAGCATGATGCACATCACTGTGGTCCATACGACCTCTTGCGTTATTCCATCTCCAACTCCCGGGCTGACGTGATTTGCCAATAACCTATTTTTTTTCTCAGAAATTATGTCATCCCAGCCCGCACCTGTACGCCTAGAAGCTGCATGCAAGTGTTCAGACGCAAATACAAACTCCTCCGTCAACTGCTTTTTATAGGGAATTAATTTCAAATGGAGCTGCCTCCCCTGCTTCTTTTCGAGGCGCCCAGGTCAGGGCTAACAGCCGGCCGTCAGCACCGCCCCGCCACTCCTCATCCCGCCGCTCACTGGGCCCGGCCCCTCACGCCTCGCTCAGCACAGCCCGGCCCGGCACGTGCTCGAGGAACGCGGGCCCGCCTCCTTCTGCCGCCGGGGCGCGGGGAGCGCCGCGAGGCGGGGCGGGGCAAACCGGCACGGTCCCATGGCGCCCGCCTCGGCATCGCCGCCGGCTCCGTCCGCCGAAGGCGCGAAACGGGGCGCGCATGCGCCGAGGCGCTGCGCGCGGGGCCCGCTGGCGCCGCCGAGCCACCCTGTGCCGCTGCTGCTGTTGCCGCGCACGGGCGGGCGGGAGCGGGGCGCGCGGGGAGGGACGTGATGACGCGCTGCGTGTCGCCAGCCGTGCGACCCACGCAGCGTCCGCCGGGCGCGTGCCTCCTCCCGGGCCAGCGCGTTCGGGGCTGCTCCGGGCGGGGGCGGGCGGGGCGAAGGCTCAGTCCTCCTCCCTCCTTCTCCTCCTCCTCCTCCCTCTTCCTCTCCTCCTCCTCCTCCTCGGGTCCCCTCGCCGAGGGCCCGGCCCCTTCCCTCTGCGGAGCGGGGCCGTGCGGCGGCGCCTCCTCCCGCTGCCGGCCGCGCCGGACAATAGGGGCGAGCGCGGCGCCCGTCTCCCCCGGCCTCGCTTCCATGCGCGGCGCCAGGCGCCGGGGCTGACAGCGGTTCCCGCCGAGGCTGAAGGAGCGGCCGCCGGCCCCGGGCCGGGACTCGCCACCTCGGGCGCCGCAGCGCCGTTCCGCTCTTCCGCCCCCCCTCGCTGCCGGCGGCTGCTCCTGCCGGGCTTTGGCGGCGGCGGACAAAGGCGCGGGGCCCGGCGCGGCCCGGCCCGGCCCCCCGGGGGGTGCGCGGGCGGTGAGGAGGCGCCGGGCCCCCGCGGGCGCTCTCCCTCCCGCCGCCCCGCTGCGGCGAGCCCCGCGCGGGCAGGTGCGGCGGCGGGCGAGGCCGCTGCCCTGCGGCGGGTCGGCGTCCCGAGACCTCTTCAATGGAAGTATGCTGCCAGCTGCCGGTGCTGCCCCTCGACAGGCCGGTGCCGCAGCACGTCCTCAGCCGCCGAGGGGCCATCAGCTTCAGCTCCAGCTCCGCGCTCTTCGGCTGCCCAAACCCCCGGCAGCTCTCGCAGGTAGGTGCTGGGTGCCGGGACGGAGGGCCGGGGGCTGCGGGCGGGATGGGCTCCCATGGGGCCCGGGCTGCTCGCGGCCCCGCCGGCGGAGAATGCGACATTTTGCGTGTGCCCGCCGAGCCGGCCTCGCGGCGTCGGCTGCGGTGCGGGCGGTGACCTGCCGGGGTTATCCCCGGCGGCGGTCGGTCGTCTGCTTCGCCTTCGGCTCCTAAGCCGGGGCTGCTTCCTAGCGTCCGGCTCGGGCCCTTCAAAGACGGGCCGAGTTTCCGATGGTGCGGCCAAAAGCTGAAGTGACTTTACTGAAATAACGAACGTGCACTGCGGCGTTCTGTTTGGGATGCTGAGCTGTGCCTCCATCCAACTATGAGGACTTGGCAATCCGTCTCGAAGGAGACAAAGCTCCATGGCTTCACATTGCCATGGTGTTGTTCCCTGCCCACATTACATCAGTCGCAAGATGAACTCCATGGTATCTTGTTTCATCCGATCGTGATGGGAACGTTACAGAAACGTGCATGTGGGGACAACAGGGAGGCTTTCCTTGAGGGCACTGTCCTGAATTTTTGGGATGTGTGCTGGTGTGGCTGTGGCCTCCTAGCAAACGGTAACAGAGTTACGTTCTGGTATAAGCCTCTGGAGAACGTGTGGAATTGCAGAGGAAAGCGTGTGTGTTGGTGGAAAGCTGCTTTTGGCTCCTAAGGGTTTCTTGGAAGGTCTCTTCTGGGACTCTGCACGATGTCCTTACAGAAGATGCAGTCTTTGCTCTTCGTGCTTGTAATGGTCATTTCTTTCTCTTCACGTTTTTTAGCGTGTCGTTTAGGTATCATCCTCTTTCGTGACTTACTGTGCTACACATGCATAAGTAGAGCATAGAGAGCTGTTGGGCTTGACATTGTTCCTCCTTGGGCAGCAGTGAAGCTCTTTGTGTTAGCATCAGGGGTGTGAGCGTTTGGGAAGGAAGAATGAGCAAGTATCATATTAATTATCAGGAATTTGAATATATAGTAACACCTTATTAGTAAGGAGATGAAGATAAACATTCGTTGACCATCGCTCCACCAAGTATGAGTGTAATACTTAACTGATGAAAACTGCTTTTATGACAAATCAGTTTTCCACGTGGCAACTGGGTTAGAATATTTTCCGTTTGCAGTCCTTCACCAGAGTTTTATTCGATGGTGGTGAGTTTCCTATCTGCGCAAATCTTCCTGAAGGTCCAGTCTAACCAAATACGTGTCCTGTGCTAGTGAGAGAAGGGTCTCTTGTTAGAAGAATTGGTGGTCTTCTGGAAGTCGGAATGGGCAAAGTGGTCAAAATGACACATTGTATTTGTTCCTTTTCTGTTTAGCCTCCAGTGCATGTGAGGGATCAATTATGTGCAAGCCTAACAAATCAAATGGGATAGTGGCATTTAGGTGTACTTTTTCCCCATCTTTTGAGCTTCTTGATGTATTCCTTTCTTCTTGACCAATGTGCTGCGGGTATAATTGGGTGACTTACAGGGAGGGGTGGTTGTGTAACATGTCAAAAAGTGAAAACCATGCGTATGCTTGACCAAGTAGTATTTTCTTTGGGTAAGTCAGGTAAATAAGTCTATGCATACATAAAAGGGAGCTAGGGTATTTAAGGGAGGAACTCTCTGCAAATACTATCTGGCTGATTATAGAACAACTATTTTTTGTTGTCTTTGGACTACCCTTTTCTCCCACTTTGGACTTGTTTACAGATAATAGGATATGAATCTCTCTCAAACCTGCTATTGTTGAAGGCAGGCATAAATGATGGGCCAGAGGGTTAATGGTTCTGTATAACTTCTGAACTTCACCTTGCAAGTCTCCTGGAAGACTCCTGGTATTCCAGTTCCATTTTGTTTCAAGAAGTGTGAATCTGGTCTGTTGCTTTCATTCTTCTGTTTGGGCTGGACTTGAGCAATAGGAGTACAAGTGAAGATGTGTACTAGCGTGCTTAAGAGATAGAATCGTATGGGTTGGAAACGACCTCTGGTGATGATCTGGTCTAACTCCCCTGCTAGAGGAGGCTCCCTACAGTAGGTTACACAGAAAACCAGTGTGTGCAACCAGACCATTATCTTATGGTTTAATATGCATTTGTTAGGTTTTTCTCAAAAAGTCAGGTCTTGAGAAGTGAATTCTTCCTTAAATTGCGTAGGCTTAAGACATTATAGGCTTAGCTTTTTGACAAGGAAGCATTCATATGGGAAACGGTGGTAAGACAAATGCATAGTATGTTAGGTGTAGATTTTAATCATGGCAATGTGAAGCCTGCAAATATTTATCTCATTTAATTTAAGTTCGATTTAATATTTTAAGTTTCACAGAGTGGGTTCCAATAGGGCTGTGCATGTTGGGTTGTTGTTGTTATTTTATTTTTTTTTTACAGTGTGGATAAAGCACTGCTGCAGATGACCTGAGGAGTTGAGGTCTACTCTCGTCAGCTCCAGGAAAGATGAATTGTACTCAGAGTATTATTAGTAGATGTTTGTCTAATCTGTTTGTCTAATGTTTTTTAAGAGTCTTACGAGATGTGGTGAGCTGACATAACTCATTACTGCTGAAGGTTAAAGTCCTGACATTGGGCACATATTATTACTGCTTCCTTTATACCATCTCTGATGCTTGTCAGGTGATCCTGATTCAGTTCACCGAAGGAACAGGCAGCCTGGTCAGAAAGGCTGGGTGGTGAGCTGCCATCTCCAGGAATACCATAGGCTTAGTCATGATCGTCACAACTGATTTAAAGAAAAAGGATGGTACCATGAGGCTTTTGAAACCGTATCCATAAAAGCCTCAAATAATAGGAATTATGCAATTTTACCAGACAATTTAACTGTTGTTAACAGTGCTTAACTGTTCTGTCATTTAAGAGGTCTTTCGTAATACTGAGTTTAGATCTTCCTTGTGGCAATTTAAACCCGTTTCTGTCCCAAGTAAATGTAGGAAAAAAAACTTATTTCACTTAGCAGTTTTCTTTTGTGAATGAATTATTTCATTGTACTCCTCTTTTCTCTAAGTTCAAAGTACTAATAATGAAAAGAGTAAAAGTGGCATCTATTACCTGGAGGTTATTTGTGATAATTGCTGTTCCAGTCCAGTCAAATGTAGAACTGCTCTTGTGTGGTTTTATACAGCCTTTTTTTTTTTTTTCCAAAGTTTTAAATGCTGGTGTCATAAGCTGGTTTTAAGGGCACCTGAATTGGTGATTATTGAAATGATGAGGTATTTCACACTGGTGAGATTAAATTGGGGTTCACTGCAAGGTCAGGTGGATGTTAAGTAGTACCTTGGATCCTGCCCCAGGGGTGTTTGTTCCCACTGTTACAAAAGGATGTTTTTCAAATTAAAGGTGAGCTTTCAGACGGTAATCTTGGATTTTTTACCTCATGTCATTTTTAACTTCTGTTATTAATATTAGTTAAAAAGTTGCTAAAAACCGTGGCAGTGCTTATTTAGCGTGAAATGTTTGTCTGATTTTTGTTCTTTAATGAATGAGGGTTTATAATGAAAACCACTTTAGAAACACAGCTGTGAGCACTTTTTGATGACATGCCCAGCATTGCACTCCACACGCACACAAAAAGCGAACCAACAAAAAAACTTGAATTGAGAGGTCAGCACATGTTTGCATGGCATAAAAAGCAGTCTCAGAAACATGTCATAAGTGAGTAAGAGAAAACTTTGGCCTAGCCTGTCATTCTTGCCTCCTTTTTATCCTTCTGCCATGTTACTGGTTCCATGCTGGCTTCAGTGCCTCCAAAAATCCATCAGAGGAGGTTGTTGGTGGAGTCTGAATAGAAGTAATGATCCAGTTTTTGCCTTTCTGCCCATAAGGGTTGGAACAAAAGAGATGTAAGGATGAAATTCCATTAAGAGGGAAAGGGGCAAGTAGTAAAAGATTCCAATGGAATGTCAGAAATGTAGGCAGTAAGCTGTTACCTGAAGTGTTGGGTATTGTTGTTCACCAGGTCATTCGTAACTTACTGTCTGCTCTCTAATAACCAGCTCATTATTGCATCTTAATTTCATGCATTT